CATTTGAACAGGTTAACAGAAACTCAGTTTAACGTCCCATGCAGTGGCAACTCCAATAATGCAGCATATATACAGCGTATATTGTTGTGTCAATACAATACAAATTTACATTTGCCTTTCACCTTGGGAGGAAATCCCAACACACTCGATAGCCCAGAGTTTGCACCCGAGGTGAAGACTAGGGGACGATGGCTGAGAGTGCAGTCAAAGAGGAAGGTCTTCAGGTGGCCCTTGGGGGAGATGAGGGGTGTGACTCCGGGATGGAGTTCTAGAGATTGGAGGCAGAAACGCTGAAAGCCTGACCGCCGATAATGAGGGGATTTGAGGGTCAGAATAATAATCTTGAACTTGATTGCTGGTGGATACGGAACCATTGGAGCCAGGTGAGTCAGGCTGGACTTACGAGGTCAAACTCCCAACCTGGGCTTGAACCCACAACTTTCTCACTCAGAGGCAGGAGTACTATCAACCGAGCCAGGCTGACCCCCGAGGAAGAAAGTTCACCTCCAGATCTAGTGGTCTGAGAGAGACAAAGTCAAAGGGAAGCCATACTCTCTTTAGACAATTGTTGAAGTAAAATCCCCTGAATTTCTTAGAGAAAGAGGAATGCGTGGTTTAATGCTGTGTACTCGGCTTGTTCCTATATTCAATCCTGTTCGAGACTCTATGAAGCTGGCATTGAGCCCTACCCCTCCCAGTCAAGTACACAGCATTATATTATGTGACGTTCTTTCCTGGAGAATGTAAAGGAGACTATTTCAACAATGGTCCAAAGAGAGTGTAGCTCCCCTTTATCTTTCTGACTGTCTGACACTTGATCTGGAGATGGACTTTCTCCCTCGCTGCACGCTCTCAATATTTGATGAGCGATCTGAGCAGAGAGCCATCCTCTCAATACCTTTCTTTCATCCCATGGTTAGCGGCCTGCTTGCCAATCGCTCTAATTGCTCAGTAGCCCTTGAGAGATGCTGTCGGGAAGCTGGTTGACGTTGCCAGTTGCACGCACAAATAATCTGATTACTGCTGGGCTGAGCTGCTCCCTGGTGCTCCTCAGTGGCCGCAGTCTGCTCCCTGCCCTGACAGTGTAATTGACTCAGGAAGAAAAACACCACAGACAACATCTGTGATTAATATATCAACAAGCACTGCCTTTATTTAAAGCCCTGCAGTCATCTCATATTCTGTCTTGTGCAGATGGGAGTTGAAAGATCCAGTGGCACTGTTTTGAAAATGAGTAGAGGGCTCCCCCAGTGTCCTGACTAACATTCCTGCCTTATCTGATTCTCCCCCCCACACCCATGTTCCCCTCCCTGACAGGTGTAGACTGTAAATAAAATACAAAATACACAGTCAATCCACTTTAAGGTATATCCTGTGAAACACTTTAAGACGTCTTGAGCACGCGATAAGACGCTATTCAAATGCAAGGATTATTATTATTATATATCTTGACTGGAAATTGATAGAAAATCAATTGATGGAAAAGGGATTCACATCATTGAACCAATCCTGTATTCACTTGACATTCACATAGATACACGTTCCATGGAAGAGTAGGGGGGAGGGGAAGAGAGAAGGGCACTGGATAGTGATCACCTGGTTGTTTTAATCTCCTTAACCAGAGTGCCTGAGACAAATTGTATCTGCTTTAAATACACTTAGACGCCACCTAAATACAAATTGTTTTTGTTGTTGTATCCACTGTCACCGTTGTTAGGAACAACCTAAGATTGGGAGTTCAACCTCAAAACCTTTGCTTTATGTGCTGTATTAGTGCCTTTCCCACTGGATGATCGGACACACCTTGCTTTTCACTGTAAGGATCTTGCCACTTACTGAAAGAACATGCTGTCAATTTGTGAGCAAGTTGCTTTCAGGCCTGGGTGTCACTGCTGATTCATTGTAAAAGTGCTGATATCGTGCTCACACTTCTTCCTGTAGTAGATTCCCCCAGCAATCAGTCCTAATTATTCTCTTCCTGTTAAATACTTGCCTAATGGGACCTAATACTGACAGAACTCTTGTGTATTTCTGGCAGTTTGCGTCAAGTATCTTTAAGATTCACTAAAGAAAGCGGATTAAAGAGCACATAAAAGCTTGAAACAATCGCAACAGTTTGCATCAGGATATTGCTTGATATCAACACTTTCCAAAAGTCACATTTCATTTTATTCAAAGCAAAATACAACATTTGAGCTCCCATCTTACCCATTCCTGTGGCTATGGTGATAAAGCTGATGTTAAATTGAAACCACTTAAACCTCAAGCTCTTAGATTCACGTCTCGGTCTGTGCTGATCTGAGCCAAGAAAACTTTGGGGAGCTCCAGTTGGCCTAAGCATCCATTGGGTTAGGAATCTTGACATCTTCCTGCGATAAAGTGTGGGTTGAGATTGGGTGAGCACAGGCATGTTGTCCATGCTACTAACTTCTCCAACCAGCAGAATGTCACCTCTTCCCTGGGAACCACAGTACTTTTCAAGCCTGAAGCAGTCTCTGTCTGACTCACCAGCCAGTTTGTCTGTTTCAGTTCGGCCTCTGGAACTTCGCTGAGTCTTCACTCTTATAACATCTTTGGACTGAAAGGTTTGTGGGAGGAAAAATTAAACATGTGGAGCTGGTAAGAGTACAAATAGAAAGTAAAAGGAGTTTAAAAGGTTGACATTCCTCAGTTTGCTGGACAATTAGTTATTAAACTAAAAAATGATAAATCGCCTGTGTGTGTGTGTGTGGATGGTCCTGACCAACAAAAGTGTTCTGAACAGGCTGTATGTCCCCATCTTGTCCCTCCTTTCTTTATCTGTTGAGATAGTGAGAATAGCTGCATTAGGTCATTTACTTTATAGTTCCCAGGAATAAGATATCTAAATGACTATAAAAATTAAATGAAATGATCAGTTTTATCTGGGAGACAGAACCAATCTGCTCAGGCTCTTTCAGACACGGTTACTGATACGATTTTGTGTTCTAATTGTCAAATTAATTCACTCTTGGCTCTGGGTAACATGACAGAATTAACTTTATGAGTTCCAAGTCCCAATGTGGGAATCAGAGGCGAGAGGTTCACAAACAGCCAGGTTCACAAACAGATGAAAAGCTATTGAAGGAGAATTTTGTTTTAGTAGAAGTGATAGACATGCAGATATCAGTACAGGTGGTGACATAAGAAACTCCAAAAAGATTTTTGAAATAGTGAGACAAGTTCCTAGGATTCAAAAGGTTTAAGGGTTATTAGATGATGCTATAGATATGTCAAAAGGTATTTATTTAGAAGTTGGATGTGTAGGTGGCCAATGTTCTTCCCCTTTTCCCTGTTCTCCTCTTTTCTGAAACTTATACTATGTTACTACAGCTGCCTACAGCTGGAGAGTTACCACGTACAGGCAGTGGCTGCTTTTATAAAATGAATCCTTGCATTCTTTAACAGGTCAAAACATCTCTTCACAGAGTTTTGATTAATGCATAGTGAATGTGTATTTGTAAGCAAACAATTTTGTGCGCAGCAATGTTCCACAACAGCCATGAGGTTAATGACCAACTTCATCTGGGTGGATTTTAGCCACTCATATAATGCTGTATTGTCATCAAATAATGTCTTGAAGAACTTCACAAGTAATTCCTGGAAAGTGTAATGACTATTTTGTGTGGGCCAACATGGCACTCAGTTCAGCTTTACAGTAAAGCGCTCTGAGATGCCGATCTGCGTGGAGGGCGCTATATAAATCCAAGTTGTTGTAGTTGAACTGCACTGGAGTGTTTGCCTAAATTAGAAGCTCAAAATTATGACCTGGGTCTTGAACTCTGACTCAGAGACAAGAATGTCACCAACTGAGCCAATCTGACACCTATTCTGTGGGAGGTTTCAAGAAACTTACAAAAGGCACATGAGTTAATTCAGTTACAGACCCATCATGCGCAAAAGATACAGTGACACTTTCTAACGCGATCGACTATACTGGAGTTTTGCAGACAGCATTTGGCTTTGCATTTTTTCCAGGCCTCTTTCTATCCATCAAAAGATTGAAAACAAAATACCTGTGGTAAAGTAGTCAGTCACAAGCCGGAGCACACAATTACCACAGAGATCCCTTCTCTGAAAATTATTCTATGTTACTGCAGCTGTCAACAGCAGCAATTACCAGCACATTTACCCCATTTCTGAGACTTATACTATATTACTACAGCTGTTATTACAAATTACCACACTTTCAAGCCACGCTTGTCATGTCACAGTTCTGTGCATGTATTTATGACATTCCAGCCAAGGGGATGACACTGAGTTTGTGCCGCTCTCCCCTGCACCATCTTATGTATTCTAAATGTATTTTCCTAAAATAATTGCAAAGCTATGGGAAAAGAGCAGAGGAATGGGACTAATTGGAAAGCCCTCTCAAAGAGCCACCATAGACACAATAGGATGAATGTCCTCCTTCCGTGCTGTAAATTCTATGAAAATGAATGATGGTCTCCACCCACAGAAGTCTCAAAAAGAAAATGTAACGATCCATTCAGTCAGGTAGTAGTATAAAGTATTGTAATTTGCAATGATTGTGTTAATTCCCTCACAGCATTTCTGGATCACACTACGGCCAGTATCATATGCCCAGCCAACTAATGTTCTCTATAATGATTTTTCTTTGAAGGGTACTTCAAATAAAGAGATTTATTATCGAGAATATCAAGTGAAATTATGAATATTCTCCATGGCCAGTCCATCTCTGCTATCTAGGCTAGTTTTTCCATGTTTGTATGAGTTTCTCCGCTATAAATCCAGGGCACCAAAGGCTATTGTAGTGCCCCCTAATCTACCCAACTCAGGACAAACCGGGATTGAATTCTGGGATCTGCTGGGTCTATGAGGCTATATAAACCCTCAGAGCTGCTGAAAGACCCCAGTATTGATATTTAACATTGCAAGAGCCTATATACATGTGAAGAGCTAGGATTTCCTATGTTCTGAAGCTGAATGACTGGCACACTCACATTCTCTTTTGTTTGTAGATAGTAATTCAAGCCTTTTGTGGAATGACACGGACCCATTGGCATCAATGCTGCACTGGCAAACCAACAGCACTCCTGGAATGGTAAGCAGCTGCCTCATTAATCTGCATATGTTGGACTGTAGCATGTCCCGAAGCCAAATATATTCTAATGTGGGAGAGGGCAGTTAAGCAATAGTTCTCTATCAATTGAACCAGAAGGCTTCAGAATTATAAATAATGGTAACTTAGATAAGTCGTACATTGGTATCTAATTCCACTGACAGAGGGAGTTAGCATTCAACCTGTTTAATGTTATTATCTTTCCCAATGGAGCTTTCAAACTCAGAGATATAAGCAGTTGCAGTATAATATGGCATGTCAACAACACAGGGTTCAGGGTTTCTTTTTCACTGAAAAATATAGTTATGGATTAAAACAGTGAGCATTTTATAGAGTGAAAAGAAATTACAATGAAAGTGATAAGGTCCACAGTCACACATATTATTGCCCATATTGATGCTGTCAAATAATAATAATCCTTGCATTTGTTATAGCACTTTTCACATCTTCTAGACGTCTCAAAACGCTTCACAGAATATACTGTAAAGTGAATTGACTGTATATTTGGGCGAAGCATGGCAGCCATTTGTGCACAGCTTTTTCCCACAAACAGTCATTGATTGAAGTGACCAAATTATTTTTTTTTGAGGGATTATTATCAGGCGTGTGGGGTAAGGAAACTTGCCCAAGGTTTCACTCTGCTGGGAATTGAACCCAGGTATCTCGCTTGCGAGGCGAGTGCTCTTCATAAATAGAGATAAAAAGATGATCATGATCCTGATTACCTGAGTCTTGGGTTTGATGATCTGGGAGGAAACATTCCACTTCGGTCTAGACTTTGACTTTTTTTCTAGCATTTAAGGGCATGCAAGTTTTGGACAATTCTTAAATTTGGTCTTAACATTCTCTCTAATAAGGTGACAGAAAAACAGCTTCAAAATTAAGAATGAATTTACAAATTATCCAAGATTTACATACTCTGGCAAAAATGTTGAAGTCTAGACCTAGGCGGAATTTCTTTCCCTTCCCTCTCCCCCACCCCCGAGTATGGGAAAATAATAGGGCAGCATGTGGAGAGGAGAAACCTCAACAGAATGCCAGTGAGTTCAGGTTAACAGGAAAACCTGGAACACGAAAAGACCATTCATGACTCCAGCAATCTGTCATGATGTCCACAGACTGTGCACAGTCTGTCTCCTTGGGCATACCCTGGATTTTTCATGGATACAGCATCTCTCTCAACCTATCCACACCCCTGAAAAGCTAAGATTAGAGGAAGGAAAGCTGTGAGAGGAGATAGCCCATTGTGACTACACTGCGATTTACCTGGTTCTCAAAGCTCCACAATGTGTGTGTCAATTAGATTGCATTGCACATGACCATTAAAGTGCACAGTGTGAATGTGTGAACTGGTATATATGGATCAGTTATATATACTGGATGATGTGCATTTGGATCTGATATTATCTTCATTTCCCCCCCCCCCCCCCACCTCCAAATGTATGAAGAGCTCTGGGTGGATATGGGTGAGGTGCCAGTTTTGACAAGTTCTATTTGCCTAGGAAGAAGCCTTGATGCCCCAGAAGTGATTCAACATCCTGCCTTTCAGCTAGCAAATGTTCTCTGAATACAGAAAAATAAATCCACTTTCAGTGCTGAAGTGTAATTTCACACTGTGCCAGGAGAGCATTGGCAGAGCAACGTTTCATCTTATGGAGTGGAAAAATGCAACTCATGATACAATCATTTATCATACTCACTGAAGTTGCAGCCAATAATTCTTGTGACTTCTTGTGACTGCACAATGGTTGGATATGAAACTGGCTGGATTTCCAGCAGGAATCTTTGTTGTTGTGGAGTGAGGCATTCAAAATTGTGTTCTGTGGTGACAGAACCATAACAACCAGACGGAGAAATCTCCCCCTTGGCTTTGGGTACAGCTATTTCAAAAATAGAGATAAAAAGATGATCATGATCCTGATTACCTGAGTCTCAGGTTTGATGATTTGGGATGATCCAAAGTCTGGTGTGTGGGGGAGTCGATAATTATTGACAGATATGACTGCAGTTTTGATCTAATTTGTGAGCTAAGGTTCTGCCAGTGTACTTGAACCACTGAACCTCCCTCTTATTGACTTAGTGACAAGAAACGCTACCAGCTGAGTCAAGCTGATCACATTTGTAAATCAATCCGGATCCAGTTTGATTACCATGGGTAATGCAGATATCCAGCAGATTTTCTTAGTGCCACTGAAATGAAGCTGTAAACAGGCCTCTGAGTTTATTGCGATTATTCCGAGATTAGAGCCTACTATTAAAGTCTTTGTTGAGATATTCAACAGTAAAAAATAATTGCACCAGATAAAGGCTAAGTCCAGGGGCCAAGCATGCCATTGAGTGAAGCAGGCTATCTTTATGTTGTTTAGAACTCACTTGAGCACTTGGTCACTAGCTCAGGCTGGGCTTGCCTTGACAGAGAGGAGAGCCGGTCACCTGACTTGCTCGGGAGGTAGTGAAGACATGGTTCAGGTCCACATTGTCCTTTGACAATTTGGGATCTAGAAGAATTTGGGAGGGATTAGGGTTTATCTGCGGGGCTCTCATTCCTTAGTGGAACGTATCCAGTCTAATTTTTTTATTGGTAAGCAGGCCTAACCTGCTCACCAATAAAAAAAATCTTTATGATGATTATACTCGGGCACTATTTTGAAGAGCAAAGTTCTCCCGGTATTCTGACTAATATTCCATCTCTTGATTCTCCTTCACATGGGAGAGCAACTAGCAGTGGACTGGCACAAGCAGCGGGGAGAGGTTTTTCCACGCGTCAGGGCAAACGTAGTGTAGAGAAACGCATTAAACGCAGGTGCTGCTGGCACTGGAGAGGAGAGTATTCTCTCCCCACGCGTTGGTGTATCCATGGGTGACACAAGCAGAAAAATATTCCTTTTAATAGTATTGACCTTTACCTTAATGAGCAGAAAAGCACCATGTTGACCACATTCTACACTGCTTCATGTACACAGAAGCCCTATGGTGTTGCCAGAGGCGCATGTCAATTTCACTGTTAATACAGAATAATGTTGCTTCCTCTAAATGTCTCCCGGTTGAGCTTATTTCCATGCTTTCATCTTATTTTGTATTTAAAAGTTTCAGGCATCTCTTTCTGTTGATAACGCACAGGAAACCATAGCAACACCTGCAGGAGTAGTATGGAATTGAGTTTCACTTGTTTGAGAGGTCTAGGGTAAGGACAGACAGGGTTTATATTGTTCACTAATTGAGGGGCCAAGGGAAGGGGACAGAGAATTCATGCAGTCACATGTCTATTGGACCCGTTGCCAATCCGACTGCACAGCAATGAAGCTGTGATTTTATATCACTGACACTTCATTCAATGTTGACTCTCATTTTATGCACTATGGAAGGTGGATTTAAACTATGAGATTAACATACGTTATCGTCACGGTCTGAATACTTTCCTATCCTTTTCTTTGACCGTCTCTTAATGATCATAAACCACATTGATACCGTATGAATTTATGTACATACCATGTACGTGGCTATCGAGCTTCACAGTCAGTCTTTACTGCTTCCTATATTGCATCCAACATTCTTTGCATTTTCCTTTGCGATTGAATCTAACACTTTTTCAGCTAAGAATCAGGGTGAGGAAGAATGGCATAGTACAGAAGAACCTTACCTATGGTTACCTCCCCTTTCCCCAGCTCGGCATCAAACTGCGCCATTGTTGAGTGCTCCGAGAAGCTATCTATTGTGAAGGGTGCTATATAAATGCAAGTTGTTGTGGTAGCAATAACAGCAATTTGCATTTATATAGCGCCCTTCACACGGGCCACGTCCCAGAGCACTTTATAGCAGCAATTTCAGACAGAAGTAATGCCTCATCTGGCTATCCATCCAATCTCTCATAAGGATCCTAATTTGCATTATTTCTTAGCAAGATACCTTATCAAGAAACAGTTAGACAGGAATATTACAATTCTTCAGCGGGAATTTAGGAGAGGAGAATGTGAGACACCAGAGCTAGTGGTTTGCGGTAGAAACATTTGCTTCCCAGACTGGTGTGTCTCAATAGCAGTAAAATATGCACCAGAAGAAGCTGCCACCTCATGCACTGGTGTGGAGCCCAAAGTGCTTTTCAGAAGAGACTGGCACTGTGCAAAGTTGCAAGGGGGCTTAGTGGAGCATCTGTTTAAATCAAGGCAAGGTTAAGGAAGGAGAACTGTGTACTTGAGGGTAGGGGTCTTGCAGGTACAGAGTGGGACACTGTGAATTTAGCGGTTGCAAAGGCTTGTGCATGCATAGATTTCCAAACTTGTATATAAACAGAGGCGAACAAAAGCATCTGATACTCAGTCAGTGATGTTGCATTGCCTCCTGCTGTAGCACAGAATGGGGTGGCAAGACCCCAAACCTATTGATCTCTTCATGTTACTAATGAGCTGGCAGTGAGACCAATTGTTCTAATACGTTAACAGGTTTGTTTCGGAATTGACTGTATTGAGGTTGAAATTACGAGACCATCGAATCGATTCAGTTTCAAAAAGCGCCCCCCTGGAGGTGGTTTCAGAAAGTGTATGTTTATTTCAATGCATCATAACCTGGAATTACACCACACACTTGAGTCTCAGTTCGATGTGGAAACTGGATTGAATTAACTTTGACTAATTAGACCATAAATGTAACCTCCGTATAAAACCTTTGCGAAAGGGGTAGAAAAGCTCCAAAAAATTTATTTGAGTCTACTTTTACTCTATTTCCATGGCATTTCAAAGCATCCAGAATTTGACAAATTGTTGACTTCAGTCTTAACTTTGAAGCAGGTTTTCTGTAGTTCCTAAAAGCAATGTACAGAAAACCAACTTCAAAATTATGTTTGTATTGGGAGAATTTTCCAATTTCTGGATGCAGCAAAATGTTACAGAAATAGAGTAAATATAGAGTCAGCTGTAATTTTATCTCTGCTGTGTTTTTTTAATAGTGGCAACTTTCATGCAAACGGATCCATATTCAGCAAATCTGATTCTCGTCTTTTCTATCCAGAATGCAACTATCGACTGGACGTCGCTGTCGAAGATGGGCTGCCTGAAACATGGAGGCACCCTGGTTGGCAAGTCCTGTAAATATGTTCCAGATATCACTCTGATGTCCTTTATTCTCTTCTTTGGCACATACACCTGCTCAATGTCACTGAAGAAATTCAAAACCAGCCCATACTTCCCGACCAAGGTAAGATGTCCTACCTCTTCCACTTGAAGTGATGCTTGATTGGTGGCTCTTTATCTATGGCTTTTCAGTTTGTTTGAATATCATAGTATTCAGTGGTGCACAGTTCACAGCTAGAAAGTATAGAGTGTTTGCTTTGGAAACTCTGGCATTGATATTTAGCACAAATTAGTTTGAGTTTCTGTCCAAAGGGCAGCTCAAGCTGCTTGTACCTATTTCGATATATTTGACTATGCTATTTATAGCTGAGGTTCCCTAAGGGTTCAGATGTTGCTAAACAAAACCTCATGAAAGGACCTTTGTGGCTTGAAGGATTGTTTCAGTGCCTTTCAGCTCCATGCCCAGTGTAGGGTCTGAATTGGGAAAACAGAAACCAATTGACTGATGTTTTGATACTTTCACCTGCTTCTTCGACCTATGTATCATGCACTATTCCCTGGTCAGGAGGTCTAACCAACTTCCCCACTCCAGTGACATCCCTGTGATGTGGAAATGCAAGGCTGTCTGTACACATGTGTAATGTGTGTATGTGTGGAAGTGCATGTGTGTGTATATGCACTAAAGGTTTGTATGTATGTGGAGTCCTGTAGCTTAGTGATTAGAGCACTTATCTCGACCTGGGATCGATTCCCAGGCAGGGTGAAACGTTAGGCAAGTTTCTTTACTCTACATGCCTCTGTTCAGCCAGTAGTAAGTAGGAACCCAGTTGTTAGTCGGTTGCCGGATCACTTTTTCGGGGGTAATAATCCTTCCAAAAAATAAATAAAATAAAAAATATTAATAATTTGGTCACTGATGTTTGTGGGACACTGCTGTGCACAATTGGCTGTCACATTTCGCCCACAAAATGTACATTCAATTGACTTGCAAAGATTATTATATGTATGAATGCTTATATGTAGTATCAATTCCACTTTGAGTCTTTACATCTATATTTAAAAAAACTTGCATTTTTATAGCATTTATTGTGTCAAAATGTCTCAGAGTAATTTACAGCGATTTCTGTCAGGCAGTCATTTTGCACCAAGGTGCAAGCAGCCATGTAGTGAATGATTAGTTAATCTGAAGAATTTTTGGCCAAGATATTGAAGAAAAATTCTCTCCCCTTTTTGAATAGGTTCTATAACATCCCCTTGAACCAGGTTCAATTAGGTTTATCATCTCAATAGAAAAACAGCACAAAGAACTCCCCCAAGACCTCCCTGGAGTGTCGGTCAAGATTGTGAGTTCAAGCCCCAATGTAGGCTTGAACCCACAATCTTCTGATCCAGATGAAAAGCTAAACCGACGTGAAAGGCGCTCTATAAATGCAATCTTGTTGTTGTTGTTGTTGTTGTTGAATGTGTTTGTGGGTGTGTGATTCTGTGTCTGCATCTGTGAGTTTCTGTGCATGTTGTGTGTGAATGTTTCAGTATGTCTGTTTTTACGTGCATGCAAGTGTGAGCGTTAGAGAGCGATAGTAAATGCTTTCAGTTCCGTTACATTTTATTAATAAATAAAAGTATTGCTGGAGCATAACTATCACTAATACACTGGTTTCAGAGCTGAATGAAGCAGTTTCAGAGCTGCCTGAACCATTACTATGGTTGAGGAGCAATCTCATTCTCCCAGCCTGGTGTCGAAATTGCTAATGTCTCAGCAAAGCCCAGTGGTGTTGAAGGGGCAGCAATGGGGAAATACCATTCTTTGTCCAAATCAGAGATCTTTCTCCTGATTTATTGGTCATTCACCTCAAGCCTCTCTGCAGAACCTTGCTCTGCACAAATTGCCGTTTACCTATAAAAATAGTCGCTACACATAACAGTAATAAAACTTTTTCAAACATTTTAAGACCTTTCACTATAGAAATAATTTTTTCCTCCCCATATCCTTTCCTCGCCCTCCCTCCAGTTCTCTTTGCTCATGCAGCATTGTCTTAGTCTGCTCCTGAGTGTGCTGGGACCAGTCAAGTGGAGAGGCAGCAAGTACCACATAAAACCCGAGTCACTGTCTGATTGACCCCTGACAATAAAACACTAATCAGCTTGTCAGTGTTAGGCCAAGTCCAGTCTGTAAATTGAACCCTGAGCTGTAAATTCCATTTCCTGCTTACGGCCTCAGATATCTTACATAGGGCCAATGGAAAGTGGAGCTGTGATTTTAGAGTCTGCCAGGAATCAACGGTGTCTGCCTGGCTCAGTTGGTAGCACTCTTACCTCTGAAGGTCATCGGTTCAGGCCCCCGTCAAGAAATTGAACTCAGTCTAGGCTGACACTGCTGTGCAGTGCTGGTGGAGCACTGCATTGTCAGAGGTGCCGTGCTTCAGATGAGACGTAAAACTGAGACGTAAAACAGTCAAGACTAGGTTGAATGTCAATCTTTTCAATTCTGCTTTCTAAACTCAAATGCAAGGCTTTATCTACAGAAGCAACATTGAGTGCAGTGAATGCTGAATAGTGCTTCAATGCTGCACTATACAGCTTAGCTCAGACTGGTGGAGGATCGCTCCATGGATATTAATGATTCTGTGTAATGTACTTTATGTTTGTTTCTCTCCCAACAGATTAGAAAGTTGATTAGTGACTTCGCCATCATTCTGGCCATCTTGATTTTCTGCAGCATTGATGCTCTGATCGGAGTAGACACACCAAAACTTATTGTGCCAAATGAGTTCAAGGTTTGTTGACCGAAGGATCTTTATTTTCTTTTTATTGAATGGATCATAGTTTTTGGGAGCTGTGTCAGTTGCCTATTCTTTGTCGGGTTTGGAGTTCACCAGTTATTGAGTTGGAAATAGCCATTCAACTCATTTCATTTCCTCAAATTATCTGCACTCTCTGACCTGGCTCCAGATTAATTGTCTTAAACAAATATTTTATTCTAAAAATTCAAAACAGAAGGTTGGTCCCAAGGTATCAATGAGCCTTCTTCCTGCTTCAGCCTTTTTTATGCTGGAGAAAACGATGGGGCCTCAAACCTGTGAGTTCGTTCATTCCACCAGTCTATGAACAAGAAACATGCAATTTTATAGCTCCTTATTTCATGTTTCTCAGGTAATTATTGTCATGGTAGTGCCTGTCTTTGTAGCCAAACATTGCTGTCATCTGTACCAGCAAGGTCCCACAAACAACCATGATGTCAACAGTCAATTTCTCATCCACTGTGACAGCCTGGTTTAGCGCTCAACTCTGAGTCAGAAGATTGTGGATTCAAAACCCTATTTTGAGACTTAAAATTCATATAGTCTAAATTGACACTCCAATGCAGTGCTGGGGGTGTGCTGCATTGTTGGAGATGCCATTCTAGGGATGAGACATTAAACTGAGTTCCTGTCTACCTGTCCTGGTGGACGTTAAAAACCCAATGTCACTAGTTGGAAAGAAAAGGGAGTTTCTCCTGGTGTCCCGGCCAATAAGAGAAACTCTCTTTTATTTGTGGTGTGGGATATTGCTATGTGCAAGTTGCTACCACATTCACCTACAAAATACAGTTTCTACACAGGAAATTCTTTGAGACATCCTCCTACAGTGAAAAGTGCTTTACAGGGATTATTATTAATTATTATTTGTTCTGATGGATTGTTGGCCAAAACACAGGAGATTCGAGCCTTAAATGACTTTCACGCCTCTGTTTACCCAAAAGTAAGTAGGAACCCGGTTGTTAGTCGATTAGCAAATCACTTTCTCGGGATAATAATCCCTTTTAAAAAAATAAAATGAGAATATGTGGTCACTCAATCCACCACTGTTTGTGGGACACTGCTGTGCGCAATTGGCTGTCACGTTTCACCCACAAAATAAACAGTCAATTCATTTTACAGTATATTCTGTGAAGCGCTTTGAGATGTCTTAGTGACATGATAAGGCACTATATCAAATGTAAGGATTATTATTATTCTCTCTCAGGTGGAAGCAGCTCGCAGACTCGCTCCCTTACAGTGCACTAGTCTTCTCCCCATAGAATGCCTGACAGGGGCTCTTTAATGTTTATTACAACATTGTTTAAAACTGATTACAAGTTATACACTAGGCTTCTTCCAGGTTTTAATAGATTTTCTCCTTTTGCTTCTTCAATGTGTAACCTCCAGCCAACCAGCCCAAAGAGGAGCTGGTTTGTACCTCCGTTTGGGGCCAACCCCTGGTGGGTTTGTCTTGCTGCTGCCATCCCTGCCCTGCTTGTCACTATCCTCATCTTCATGGACCAACAGATCACGGCAGTCATCGTCAACAGGAAGGAGCACAAGTTAAAGGTGAGGGTTTAGCAATTGTTGCATTAATTTCAAGACCCGTCTCAAGACCCTCCTCTTCGATCATGCTTTTGATCTCCCTGCCCTCCACCCTCCCCAACCCCGACCCCTAGCTCAGGTCCATAACTCTATCCGTCCAGCACCTTGGGATGTCCACCTGGCGTGAAAGGTGCTATCCAAATGTAATTTTGTTGTTTGTTGTTATTAATTTAGAGTTACATTGTTGGAGGTACCATCCTTTGGATGAGATGTTAAATGGTGTCTGCCTGTTCAGGTGGATCCCATTGTACTTTTTGAAAGGAGAAAGTAGTTTTTCTTGGCCAAAGTATCCGCAAATAAATCTCCCCAATTAGTTACATTGGATTCAGATGTGTCAGAGATGGAGTGGTCTGGGATTAGTTTTACATTGGGATCAGCCAAATAGACCATGTGACAGGAGATTGGCATCTGAGCAGTGTTCTGGGGTGTTGGCCTCAATTGCTGCAGGACTTGCGGTTACTTACACATCCAGACACCTGAAGGCCTATTATTTAAACATCCTTTTTTGCAAATCTTGTCAGTTCGATTGCTGTGTTGTTAATGCTGCAGATGGGATGAGCGGAGCCAGGTTGCAATGTACACAATTCAAAGGAACAGCAGATTTTGTTAAGATGGAGATAAGGCCTATGATGACAGGGACAGACACTTGGCATAGGGAGTGTTTGAATAAGGAACCCAAATCATTATCTTTTTACAGGCATTACTCTCTGGAACTACACTCTGCCCTGGTTGCTATAAATAGGTACAGCGTGGCATGGAAATTCATCATACTCTAAGATGTTCTAGGTCTTTTGTTTTATTAGAGACAAAGGATGTCCGATGCAATTAAATCAGGTTGAACGAAATACTTAGAACCACTATTTCTGCACTGACCATTTTAAACTGACCAATGTATAATTTTATAGCTCAGGTGGGTTCATGTTCGTCCTCTGTCAGATTGCTCCTCAGGGGAGGCGGCAGTGGGGAGGTGGAGGAAAAAAAGATGAAGGCAAGAGTGACTGAGGGCAATAATGTGCTAAGGGGTCGTTGCCAGAGAGGGCATAAGGAGGATGAGGGCTAGAGCCACAGAGGTAATAAGCTGCGAATGGTGTAATGGACTTGCAAGGAGGTGGGGGAAGTGAACTCAGCTAACATGACTGTGAGTGTGTGTGGTGGGTTGTGAGGGTGCGGTAAACAGTGTAGCCATGGCCAAAGGAGAGGGAGTCTGATGGCATCCCCCCTCCTTCCCCATCTCAGCTGTTGGCAGCTTCGCCCTTTGATCTGGTTTTACATCACTAGAGTTACAGAAGGTAGCAACTCAAGCATTTTTTACAGCATAACAATGAGCCACCAAACCACACCAACAGGTAAACTCCTGATACCTCCACACTCCAAGGGAACAGGGCTGAGCAGCGAGTTAGACATATGTATAAATACATAAATAAATGCTGCCAGATATTGACAGCATGATGTCTTAAGTGGTAGTGACAAGTTAAGCCAGGGTCGAGTTATCAGGAGTTTACTGTGGCAAGAATGTGCGGAAGTGTAAAATAACCGGCAAATCAAGAAGATATTATTTTTCAAAAATTTTGTGCAACCGACATTGTGAATACTTTGTGGAGAACTAGCTTCGCTCATACAATTACTCTGTCTGACGAAGCCAATGAGTAAATTTGATGGTCACTTTCATTTCACCAACAAATTAAACGATAGCATGAAATTAGGTTGACCAATGACAATTCACGATTTTCAGCACTTTCTTCTTTAAGTGGCCATTGGGATGTGGTTACTGCTACACTAGTATTCTGAGGCTCCTCAGGCCCTGGCCTCCTGATGTGGAATCATTGATCGGAAAGGGAGAGCTCTCTATTACACACGACTCTGGTTAAAACCGCTTCACTCTTTTATGCACAACATAAAGCAGCCAGTCAGGCAGCGCAGCACAGTGTTTCCATGGGAAACTGGAGAGGGCACAGAGAGAGGAGAATGTAAGACTGAGACTTAATTGCAGGATTTTGAATGGAGTGTGTAAAGAATTTAGTCTAGAAATAAGGAACAACAACTTGCACTATTGCACAACTTGCACTATTCACACGGGGTAACGTGTCGGAGCGCTTAACAATGACAGAACACCGAGCTGGGGAGAGAGGGTAGGTGACCATTGGTATGGATGAAGAGGAAAGTCATCAGGCGGAGAGAGAAGCAGGGAGAAACCAATAAAAGTAGCAGGAAACATTGAACTGCCTTCGTTGCTTCCTTGTTCAGGACAAAGCTATTGCTATCTATTTTGTTTGGTCAGTCAGGTGTCTAATGTATGTGGAAACCTATTTACTGGAGGGCAAGTTAGTGTGGTGGAACAGTACATTTGGCATATTTTCCATCCTGATTGAATCTAGCTGAAAGCAGAATATGTTGTACTTATTCCTGATTATCTAGAAAACTTCCATTCCATTTTTTGGGGGGACTGGATAATTCTTTGTGGGGATACCTGGTTGACACAAAAAGTTGCAACTGAGGTTACTCTTGTTTGAAGATTGACTTCAATGCCACTCTTAACAAGCAGCACCAGTGTTGTGTGACTCCTCCAGTGAAACCAAACTTTCCATCTGTTATTTGGAATTTCAAGCAAGGCTTCACAGGATGCCGAAAAACCTATCACTCAAATGATAGGGTGGGAAATGAAGGAGAATAAAACAATTTCCTTTGTTTGATTAAGGAGAAAGTCTTACCATGGCTCACAATCTCATTGCCCAAAATCTGTCTGGAACACAGTAAATCACCCTTTTCCTTCTACTGGTCATTCACTTCATAGCTGTTTGTGGGACATTGCTGTGTGCAAATTGGCTGCCACATTTGCCTACAAACACACAGTTGCTGCCCTTTACAAGCGCTTGAGGATGTCCTCCTGATGTGAAAGGCGCTATACCAAACACAAGGATTATTATTATCATCATCATCATTGTTCAAGGGGAGCTACTAATAATTATTATTATAATTACCCCAGCTAGTTAACTCCCACTGAAGCATTGGACTTTGGATCAGAGGATTTGGGGTTCAGATCCTTGTAGGTGTCCTCAGATCCTCACTCCTCAACGTCACATCTGAAATGTTTATGCTCTTCATGGGGAGAGGGGGGGTAAATGGGGTTGAGCTGCTGGAGAAAACACACCAGATTTGTCACTGTAAGGAATTGCTGATGCTTGAACCAGTCTGACATGTCCATGAAGAGACAGAGGAGCAGAATTTCCTTGAACTTGTGTTGCCACCCTTATCGATCAATAAAAATTCCCTTTGAAGTTTTCATGCACTCACTTTGTATAGAAACTGTCCTGGGGTCTGCAGTCTGAGTGTGGACTTCAACCAAGGCAGTGATTGGGACACGACAATGAGGCTTATTGCTTTGTTTGATTGAGGAGAAAGTCCAACAGTAATATGTCCCTAAACGAGAAGTAATAGTAATAATAATTAATATGTATGAACTGGAACCATTTTCTCTCTTTCTTACTGCAGAAAGGGGCTGGCTATCATGTTGATCTATTCTGGGTGGCCATTCTCATAGCCCTGTGCTCCTTCATGGGGCTGCCCTGGTACGTGGCTGCCACTGTGATCTCCATTGCACATATTGACAGCTTAAAGATGGAGACGGAGACCTCGGCCCCGGGAGAACAACCCAAGTTCTTAGGAGTCAGGTAGGCGGAAAATTTTCCTTTGATGCTTGAAACAAAACATTATTCATGGGCAGCGACAAAAGGTTTTCAATCATTACATTAATGGGCAGTTCAAAACACACGATCAGATTGGCACTGCTTCTTGGTCGTGCCCTGGCTTCTCAGTACATTGTTTGACTTCAAAAACGCTGTGACCTGTTTTGGTTCAATAAAAGATTTGTCATTTCCTACCCCAGCCCCCATTTCGTTCACCCACAAAATATACAGCTCACACCACTTTATAGTCTGCCCTGTGAAGCCCTTTGAGACGAGATGTCCCGACGACGTAATAAGATGCTGTATCAAATGTAAGGAATATTATTATTATTTCTTCAACCGTTTCTCCCCCTCTCTCTCTCAGTCCCACTGTGCACTCTCACACTGTCCCTTGGTCACACGTGAACACGCTTCTGATGTTGCCAACGAATCAGCAGGCACATGCAAAATCATACCGTTCCCTCTCATTCCATCAGCATGCCTGACCTGTCCTTTGGGGCACACAAGCAATGGAGGTTCTCCTGCTTCTATTGGTTGAGAGACAGACACACCAGTGTGAGGTGCAGGAGAGGGTGTGAATAAACCGCCTCAGTGTTAGAGAGACCGCAGGAACACAGGTTAATGAAAGTGCTCATTAATGAGACTGTCACCTTGTGCTTTAACTCTCTCACTACCATCAAGGTCTTTTGTTCCTCAATTATAACCTTACTGAAAAGCAAGCAGCCCAAACTAGCCAGTTAGCTGCCAACAGAGTGGCCCAGGAATTGACTGGTGGGCTAAGTATATTAGCGCTTGGGTGAAACATAAAAGGAAAGTTTCAGTCAGCACTCAGACCGGGGTAATCAGTGCCATTCATTTAATGGCTGTAAAATTACTTTGATTAAAGAGTCAAGTTTGGTGTTGGTGGGGCTCTGGATTAGGAGAATTTTGTTAGTAATGCTGAAATATGTTGATGGTTGTTTGGTGGCGTTACTTTGGTTACCTGGGACGTGTTCAGCTGGTGTTCAACAGTGAGGCACCGTGCCAAGTTCCTTAGTGTTCCAGGATGGTGTTGAGTGATGGTGGCCTGCCATCCTTTATTGGCCAACAAAATAAATGTTCTTGATTGAATATTTCTTGGATTATCCCATAAATCAAGATATATTTAGTCAAGAAAAAACATGCAACCGATCGAACACACACTTACTTAGACTCATGCGAATGTTCAGGGTAGGGGCACTTCTTGATGGCCCCACAGTTCACTTCCAGTCTGCGGGCCACGGTTTGGCTACCGCTGCTATAGAGGTTGGCTCCTGTCTTATCATTTGTGGGGGAGGGAGGCTTGGCGAGCTCTTCAATCTCTCCTCAACCCTTATGGCAAGGGCTGATAGACTGTCTGGAACACCTCCAGATAAAAACAGAAATCAAATCAACTTGAAGAGGAAGCAGGAGAGGAAATTCCAAAATTGAGCAAAATAAACATAATTTCTCCCCACACACACTCACATACCTCAAATTACCGGCCTTGCTCCAACCTCCCTTTCCTTTCCAAGGTCCTGGAACGAGTTGTTGCTTCACTCCTTCCTCTCCCACCGCTCCCTTCACCAACCCCTCTACAGTACAGAAACAGCTTTGGTCAAAGTGACAAAGGACCAGGACTCCATCTGTTTCCTCGTCCTCCTTGACCTCTGCTGCATTCAATACTGTTGACCACTCAATCCTCCTCCACTGCCTCCCCTCTCACCTCAATCTTCATGGTTCTGTCCTTGAATGGTTCAGATCCTACCTCTCACACCATCTCCACTTCATCTCCACTTCATCTCCACAAATAGTTTCTCCTCTAGCCCCAGCACCATCTTGTGCGGCGTTCCTCAGATCTCTGTCCTTCGTCCCCTCCTCTTCAATATCTACATGCTCCCTCTTAGTGACATCATCTGAAGACATGGGGTCAACTTCCACATGTATATGGATGACACCCAACTGTACCTCTCTGCCTCCACCCTCAACTCCAGGACCACTGCTGTCCTGACAGAATGTTTGTTAGACATCAAGTCCTGGATGAGAGCTAGCTTTCTGCAGTTGAACATCAAAAGACCGAGGCTCTCCTGATTGGCTCCCGTCAGCACCTCCACACCTCAGGTGCTGAATGCATCACCATCCAAGGATACACACTCCACCTCACTAAGCCAATCCGGAACCTTGCTGTCTTGTTTGACCCTCAACTGTCCTGTCTGCAACACATCCAATCCATGACCCGTTCTGCCTTCGCCCACCTCCGCAACATTGCCTGCTCCACCACTGCCTCATTTCTCAGGCTGTAGAAACCCTCATCCATGCATTCATCACATCTCGGCTTGACTATTCCAACTCCCTGCTTGTCGACCTCCTCAACTCTTCCCTCCACAAGCTTCAGATCATCCAGAACTCTGCAGCTCATGTCCTCTCCCACACCAGACTCCATGACCCCATCACCCCCACCGTCGCCCGGTTCCACTGGTTCCCATCACCCAGAGGATAGAGTTTAAAATCCTCATCCTCACATTCAAGGTCTTCCACAGCCTTGCTCCTTCCTACCTCTGAGAACTGCTCACCTCACTCAAAGGAGCTTACCAGGAGTCTAGATATGGACATGAGGAAATTGGTAATGTAAATTCAAACTTAAATTCAGATTCACTTAGATCTGGCTGCTGAAAGGGTATCATCGCCTTGGGACGTCCTCCTGGCATGAAAGGCGCTGTACAACTGTAATTGGTTGTTGTCTGTACACTGACAAGGCATGAAAAGAGTGGTAATTGGTTGCGTTAGACAAGTGGTTGCTGAATAGAGGTGGTTTCTTCAATAGGTTTGACTGTATTTCAGTAGCAGTGATCAGAAAGATCACTATTGTTAGTGCCTGCACTCTACACCTCTGAGGTTGTTGCACCATATGCCCATTTCCAACAGACCAACCACCACCGCCTGCTCACTCACTCACTCACTCCATGCTCGCACCTTCCCATCAGGATGGAGAAAGGTCTGAGACAATGTGGCGCCAGATAATTTGGCAACTTTACATTATCAAATACAAGGATACTATTATAGGTTTGTCTGTGATAGTGGGCTTGTCTCTGCAGGCAAAGACGTACTGGAAAAATTTGGGTAAGGCAAAATGTAACCAGTAATCAAATGCACTTTGTGAGTGAAATGCAAACATCGACAATTACTGGTGCTTTTACTATTATTTTATCATTATTACTGAATACTCAACATGCATGGAAACACACACCAATACATATAACTAAGGACACACAGCCATCCATATATACACCTACAACTACATATAAACACAGACACAGATGTGTCAGCCTGGCTTAGTTGGAAGCAACTCGCCTCTGAGTCAGAAGGTTGTAGGTTCAAGCCCCAAGTCGGACTTTTAACTCGTATAACGTAGGCTGACACTCCAATAAGGTGCCTCATTGTTGGAGATATGCAGAGGTTTGGATGCGAGAGACTGAGAGATGCAGGGGTTTAGCTTTAAGGTGTTAAGACAACAACTGGCACTTATATAGTGCCCTTCATGCGGGGCAGTGTCTCGGAGAGTTTAATAGTGGCAGAGCATGATGCTGAACTGAAGGAGGGAGGAAGTTACCATAAGCACAGTCGAAGAGGAAGGTCTTCAGGCATGATCTGAAAAGGGGGAAGGAGAGAACAAAGCAGAGAGATTGAAGGAGAGAGGTCCAAAGTTTTGGGACATAGTGGCTGAAAGCACGGCCACCGATGATGGAAGGGCGAGCGACTAGTGGGAGGCTGGAGCCAGCTGAGCAGAGAGGACAGGTAGTGGGTTGGGGGGTAAGCAGGTCGGAGAGGTAGGGATGTGCCAGAACATGAAGGGATTTGAAAATTAATTAGGATCTTGAAATTATCCGTTCTGTGATAGGGAGCCAGTGGAGCCTGGCGTGGCCTGGTGTTATGGGGTTATAGAATTTAGAGCGATGAGTATATGGATGGTGGAGTTCTGTATTAGTTGAATAAAGTGTCAGCCTGACTCTGTTGGTACCACTCTCATTCTGAGTCAGTAAGATGTGGTTTCACACCACATGTTAGGAGTTTGAGCTCATATTCTCGACTGGCACTCCATTGTTAAAGACCCCATTGTTTGAAAAGAGAAGGGAGTTTCTCCCGGGGTCCTGGACAACAATCCCCTAAATAAAATTGATCACACTTTATGGCTGTTTGTGAAACATTGCTGTGCGCAAAAATTGGCTGCAACATTTGCATACAAATACAACCATTACAGTTCCCAATAAATCCTGAGAAGTGATTTGAAATATTTGAATGATGTGATAAGGGGCTATATCAAATGCAAGATTATTATTGCTCTGTTGCTCTACTGCTAGTTCAAAGATTGTCTGATATTGAGGCAATACCTATTCGTACTATACACCCTCCAGAGAGTGAATTTAGGGTGTGTTCAAATGATCGAAACTGCTTGCAAGTCTCCCAGTGTTCATATTGAGGTATTGCCAAAGTTCAATGAACACTTCACCTCCTTAGACATGTGCTGGGTACTTGTTTCCATCGGCTTTGTGCCAGGCCTCACAAATGGAGCAGACTTTGATGCCAGGAGATAGGAGTATACTAGCACTGGAGTAAACAATTGGGTGCTAGGTGCCCTTCACCACCAATAGAGTTCACAACAAGTGCAAACTTATTGCTCTGGTGTAATAGGGTTTATTCTCACACCGAATCACAGCCTGGTCAGGTCAGACCTGTGAGCTCTTGTGCATGCTATCTCACAAATAAAACTGCTCTTCATAATAATAATAATAATAATAATAATAATCCTTGCATTTGATATAGCGCTTTTCACGTCAGGAGGACGTCCCAAAGCGCTTCACAGAACACACTGTAAAGTGAATTGACTGTATATTTGTGGGCGAACGCGGCAGCCAATTGCGCACAGCAATGTCCCACAAACAGTCGTAGATTGAAAATGACCAATTTATTATTGTTTTGTTTTTTTGGAGGGATTATTATTAGGCTCTGTGTGGAGTAAGGAAACTTGCCCAAGGTTTCGCCCTGCCTGGAATTGAACTCAGGTCTCTCACTTGCAAAGGAGTGTTCTAACCACTGAGCTACAGGACTCCACGTATAATGTATTTTACTCATTGTTTCAAATTATGCCAAGTGAAGTAAGTACAAATGGGTAAAGCTGAAACAACAACAACAACAAGATTCCATTTATAAAGCGCCTTTCACGTCAGGAGGACGTCCCAAGGCGCTGAAAGGCAACAGTTAAGGCAAATCCATTCTCTTATACTGCCATGATGGATATCAAACCTGAACAGAGATCAGCAGCTTTATATACATCATAAAGATGGGAAGCTGAGATTCTAACCAGAGAGTCAAAGGAGAATGTACATGAATGGCAGTGTGAGAACTGTCAACCTGGCTCAGTTGGTAGTCAAACAAAACACAAAATACTGCGGATGCTGGATTCTGAAACCAGTATTTGCAGTATTTTGTGTTTTGTTTCAGTTGGTAGCGCTCTCACCTCTAAATTACAAAAGTCGTGGGTTCAAGCCCCATGTCCATGTCGGAACTTCAGCTTATTCTGAAGGAGTGCTTCATTGTCAGAGCTGATATCCATCAGATGAGATGATAAACTGAGGTCCTGTCTGCCTCTTTAATAAATGGAATAAATGGAATCTTGTTGTTGTTGTAGGTAGATGCTAAAGATTCAATGGCACGTTGCTGTGCACAAGTTGGCTGCCAGGTTCACCTGCAAATATAAATATACATTCACAACCCTTCAAAGTAAAATCCCTTGAAACTCTTTGAGTTGTTCTCAAAGTCGTGATAAGGTGCCATATCAAATTGTTATATAAAAAAATTGAGAAGAGAAGGTATTTCTCCCAGTGTTCTGATCAATAATCCTCCATATAAATGAATCATTCACCTCGTGGGACATGGCTGTGCGCAAATAGCCTGAGGTATTTGATGTAACATCCAAAATATCTCAAAGCATTTTACAGATAGTCAAATATTTTAATTGTACAAAATACAATCAAAATATTTGACTATCTGTACAATGCTTTGAGATGTTTTAGATGTTATATAAAATGTAAGATTTTTATAATTTGTAATTTTATTTGTATTAATTTTAACAGTGTTAAAGCTGCTCAGTTGCCATGAGATGTCTTTATTAATACGGTTTTGATGTGACTGCAGGGAACAGCGAGTGTCTGGAGTTATCGTCTTCATACTAACGGGTGTCTCAGTCTTCATGGCTCCAATACTAAAGGTAAATCTATTAGTCAGCAGTTATTTTTGAGGCTGTGCTACTTCTGTCCAATTCTGTGCATGTCCTACTGCCCTTCTTTGTCAGTTTCCAACGAGGGTGCATCAAACAGGATTCTTTCACGTATTAATTCTTCTGTGTAAATCAAGTGAAAACTAACAGCGAGTGCAGTGCTAACCTGCAATGTCTGAAGAGGATTTGGTAGAATATGAAGCTGTTGCCTCCTGGTGGAGATCCCTTGATATTGCTGTTAAGGTTTCTATGTTCTGCTGCTGTGAAACAAACCACTGTGCAGTGTTCCTCTGTCCCCTTCTGCATAACTACATAATCTTTACATTTGTTACAGCACCTTTCACATCAGGATGATATCTCAAAGTGCTTCACAGGACACACGTCATAAAGGCAGCACATAGTACAGTACTTTGATCATAGAGACAGGAAAGCTTGTAGGCTTGAATCCTGGTCTGCTGACTTCAGCCAGGGCAAGAGTGATATTGCTATACTCTATATTCAATGAGGATGGGTTAGGGAGATCAACCAGGGTTCTCATTCCTTATCACTATCCAGAGAGCCCTCTTCATACAGGTTTGTGTGGACATCAAGTCAGGATAGGATCAGGTTTGGCTGTAATACTCCCCATGGTTAAACACTAACAAGGTCCACACCTAGGCCACTCAGGTGAGGACTGGAGGGGGCCCCAAAGAAACACACATGGAAAATGTGCTAATTTTAACGAATGAATCCCACAAAGACCAAGAAAGAGAATATCTCGCTCCCACATATTATTGTTATTATATAACTGCTCAAGTGTATTGATTCAATTGTTGTGCATTGTGTTAAATTGTGGCCGTTTCAACAAATCCACAAGCAAAAGTTTCCTTATCATATGATAATGGGGAGAGTAGAGTGCTGCATCAGTTTGGCTTAGCCTATAGTATTTTTATCTGTATGTCAGAAGCTTATGAGCTTGACCTGGATCCGATTTGACTTGCGGGCTAACAGTCGGAGGAGCACTGCATATGTTAAAGGTTCTGTCTTTCTGATGATACGTTAAATGGAGATGTGGGACATGAACACCCAGACACTAAAGGTAACATAGCACCATTTGAAGAACAGACAGTTCTCTTGGTCAATATTACCAGCCAATACTCCTCGCGCAGTCAAATTTAATTAAAAAGAGATGAATTTGTTATTCAGCTCATTGCTGTTTGTCGAATGTAGCTTACCAGATTTGGTGCTCTGTTTATCTTTGTGTGTGTGTGTGTGTGTGTGTGTGAGAGAGAATGTGGTATGTATGTATGTGTCAGGTATGTGTGTTTGTATTTGCTAAGTTTGTGAGGTATGTGTGTGTATGTGTGCGGTTTGTGTGTATGTATATGTGAGGGTGTTTTGTGTGTGTGTGTCAGATGTTTGAGTATGTGTGTGTATTTGCTCAGTTTATGAGACATGTATGTGTGAGGTTTGGTGGTTGTGTATGTGTGAGGTGTGGTGGGTGTGAATGGGAGAGTTGTGTGTGTGTGTCTGGTGTATATTTATGTGTGATGTAATATGACTTGAAGTCTTTGCTGTCCGCCTGATCACTGACTCATTGACATTGTCATTTATTCCAGTTCATCCCAATGCCGGTGCTTTATGGAGTTTTTCTCTACATGGGAGTTGCTTCCCTGAATGGTGTCCAGGTATGTAACTCAAGCAAGCTGCTCAATGTTTGAAGGCTGAATTGCAGAGAGAGAGAGAATGCTGGTATCAGTAGCCCAACACCTCGTTTGAGAACCTGTGGACAAATATTAGGGGAGGAATGGTTGCCCTACCACAAGGATTGCAAATTCCATTGCAAAGTCAAAAAACAAACCAGTTATAGTCTCTTCATGCAGCAGACATATCAGTATTCGTGTGATAATGATGAATTTGAAAGATGCTCTGTAACCTTGCTTTTACTTGCATTGTAGCACCAGAGTGTGGGATGTAGCTTGTGCGTGTTAGATGTTGGGTAAAGACAGAATTGGGCTTGTCTGCAAGTGCATTTCACAACAAAACACGCATTTTCATTCATAGAAGTGAAGTTGCCGTCAATGCAGCAAATGTTATATTTCCGAGCCCATTCTTGTGTGTGCGAGCTACAGGAGCTCCTCAGTAATCCGTGGGGTTCTTCCCATTGTAGTGCCAGTCAATGGAGAGCACAACAGGATCAATGTCCCTTCCTCTGCTGAAAATGATAGACCTTATACTTGAGTAGAGTTCTACAGATGCAGATGCCACTCTTGGCCGTCCTTGTGTGAGCTGAGCCAGAGTGTATCAGCAGGCTGTGTGACTATGGAGGGCACCACAGCCGAGCCTGGACTAATCCTCACCTCATGTCCACACACACACATTTTCCAGTAGCAATCATTGGCCAGTAATCAGCAATAGGAACCTTGGCTGATTTTCCTCCTCCCTAACCTTCTCCAAGAGCGCTGATGCCAGTTCTAATGCCTCAGTTGCTGAACTGACTGAGATCATCTAAAGCAGATCAGACACTGAATACAGATACAAAGCTCTCGTCCCTCTTTGGATGCAGTCCCACACCATTATAAATGGTCTGAGTCCATAAGCTTAGACCTCTAACTCATGTTAAAATCAAGGGGAAAAATGGCCATACTCCAGTCGTCCAGAAAAGGGAGTTTCTCCCTGTGGCCAACAATCCCCCAAATAAAATTGGTCATTCACTTTGTGGCTGATGTAGAGCATTACTATGCGCAAATTGGCTGCTAAATTTGCCCACAAAACACAGTCACTCCACTTTACAGTATATCCCGTGAAGCTATTTGAGACATCCTCGCGATGTGAAAGACCTGTGTGCATGAAGCATTGCTGATGTTTGCAAAATGTTGTTAGCAATGCATCCTGTGCATAGAGTAACAGGCAAGAAGTGATGACAGCAGTGACCTGAGGAGCTGAAAGTCAAGTCATTTTTTAGCGACTGTAGTGAAGCAAACTAGATGTACCAACTGAACTATGGATTCTTTTAATTAGATCTTTTGGTAGAGCACTCCTTACCACCTCTCCACCTACTATTGAGAAAATGTTCAGAAATGTACGTTTTTATATGGAAGCAAGAACAATCACCAGTGGCTCCAGGTTTCATTTAGTCTTTGCCAGTGACTCCATTTCCTCTTAAAAAGTAATATTACGCCCAATAGAGAAAAGTCTTACATTTGTTTTCAATTTGGTAAGAACTGAGGAAAACCAGCTTCCAGATTTTTAATTCAGCACAAGCTTTAATTTTAAGACAAAATTATCTCACAGGATAAGGCCAGGTGGAATTTCAGATCTCAGATTCATTAAACTAATCCATATTTAAAGAATAATAATAATCCTTGGATTTGATAAAGCGCCTTATCACATTGTTGAGATGTCTCAAAGCGCTTCACAGGATATACTGTAAATTAATGAGGTTGATATATTTTGTGGGCGAATGTATAAGTTAGTATAAGACACAAATTCTATTTCATCAAGAACATATAGCTGTGACATTATGAGTTACTACTTTATTGGGCTAAGGGTTCCAACCAGAGACAGCAGGAAGATGCAAGATTCACAGCACACTGTTGCAAAGCAAGCCAGTCACCAGACTCCCTAACTAGATTTAAGGCCGTTACTAAAATAGTAAAGGGAGAGTGTCACCAATTTGCAATTGTCTGTCTTAATGATTGTTTATTATTATTATACTTATTGATTGTCTGGCTTATCCAATACTCTCAGTCTCGCCTTTATCAGTTACAACAAATTTCAGTTGCACTAGCTTTGCTGCTCCCGAGCTGATCCTGTGACCTGCACTGATTCCATAAGAGCAAACAATCGACGTCAGACTAACTTGAACCAATAATAAAACACTGCAACAGGAAATTACTCTTCAGTCTCCACAAAATAAGGATGGAAATATATCGGCAATCATCCTTTTCCAATTAACAATTGAGATTTTAATTCCAAATGTTGCACATATCTTAAAATATTTGATATTTTTATATATTATATATGCACAGACTTTAAAAGTGCGAAGTAAAAGCATTAAGTAAATAAGGAAAAAAAGGAAAAGTTTTACCAATCAACAGTATTTTAAGGCATTTCTCTCTCTCTTTCTGTCCAGCGCCTTGGGACATCCTCCCGACATGAATCGCTATACAAATACAATTTTGTATTGTATTTCTCTTAATTTGTTTTCTCCTCATTTCTCCACACTTGTTCTCCTCAGATATGTCATTTGGGCCATTTCCCCACAAGGCAAGAGTCTTTGATCTCAGTGCTATCGGGGCTACTTCAAAGGGATGATTCAGTTCAAGATGTGAAAAATCTTGACTATTGCAAAAGGGATTAAGGGATATGGGGATAAGGCAAAGTTATGGTATTAGCTGGAGTTAGATTAGAAGATCAGCCATGATTGAATGGCGGCACAGGCACGATGGGCCGAATGGCCTACCCCTGCTCCTACATGTTATGTTATGTTATTGTCTTTGAGACAATGACTCTGGAATTTCTCAATCCAGAGTCATTCACACCTCAGTATGATTACCAATAATCTCTAGATATGTACCTTGGTTGCCACTTGCTGAGACAGGCTGGCTATTTTTTTTAACATACAGAGGCTTGACTGCTTTTCAATTTTATACTAAGGTCACAGAGAGATAGCGGAGTGGATTTTTACAAACAGGGTTGTTAGGAGGTGGAATGAGGGTTATCCTAACCTACTTGGAATGGTTGTTGAGTCATATTAGAACAACAACAACAACAAAATTACATTTATAGAGCGCCTTTTACGTCGGGAGGATGTCCCAAAGCGCTGATTTCCACAAAATATTAACTTTTGTGGGAATCAAATAAATATTTGAAAGGGGTTTGGGTATAGGCAGGAGACTGGGACTAAACATATAGCTCTTTTAGAGACTAGCATAGGTACAATGGGCTGAATGGTCTCCCTCTGTGCTGTAAACGTCTATGCGTCTGTAGAAGGAATACAATTACTTTTACTTTGTTGTTTCAGCTCATGGATCGCCTGAAGCTGCTGTTGATGCCACCCAAGCACCAGCCAGACTTTATCTACCTGCGTCATGTCCCTCTCCGGCGTGTCCACCTCTTCACGTTCATCCAAGGGCTCTGCCTGGCCCTGCTTTGGATCCTCAAGTCCACTGTTGCTGCCATCGTTTCCCAATTATGGTAGGTTTCTGCACACTGTGGTCTCCCCTCCAGCGCAGCGTTCAAACTTTCCAGCCCATCCATCATTTTGTCACCTGAAGAATGTTCCTATCAAATTGTAGCTGTGCCCTAGATAATGTAGTCAGGACCATGAAGCCGTTGTTGTTCCCTACACCTGAGATAAGCGAACAGTTGCCGCTGTTATTTCTGCCGAGTTCCGTTGCTGATATTTTTGACCACAAAGAAATGTGAAAACAAGCAAGACTCTTCTCTCTTTCTCTCTCTGAGTATGCTGTCTGTCTCTGACTCTGTCTCTGAGTCTGTCTCGCTGAATCTGTTTTTCTCTCTCTCTCTGAACCTGTCTCCATCTTTCTCTCACTCTCTGAGTTTGCACCCTGATGGTAATCTAATTACCATCTAATTACCATCAGATTACACTGTACCCTGAGCATTGAGCCTGTAGTGTTGAACATTATTTTATAAGAGATTCTCTTATAAAAACAAATAATAATAATACTATTTATATAATATTCGTGGAGTCCTGTAGCTCAGCGGTTAGAGCACTCGCTTTGCAAGAGAGAGACCTGGGTTCAATTCCCGGCAGGGTGAAACCTCGCGCAAGTTTCCTTACTCCACACGCCTGATAATAATCCCTCAAAAAAAATAATAATATATTGGTCATTTCAATCCACGACTGTTTGTGGGACACTGCTGTGCGCAATTGGCTGCCACATTTTGCCCAAAAATATACAGTCAATTCACTTTACAGTCTATTCTGTGAAGCGCTTTGAGACGTCTAGAAGACGTGAAAAACGTTATATCAAATGCAAGGATTATTATTATAAAAACAAGCATATAGTGCTCAAGCAGTTTATTCAATTGCATTTGTTTAAGATAGGCTTTAATAAGAGATTGAAAACTTTTAAAACTGTTAAAACTCCATAGTGAATGTACAAAACTCCACTGCCCATATCCTCACCCGCATACATGGCCCTTCACATCCTAGCACCTCCCTACCTCTCTTATCTGCTCATACCTCACTCCACCGCCCGCACCCTTCTCTCAGTGTCCCCCGAACCCTCCGCCCCACCATCGGTGGCCATGCTTCAACCACTGGGCCTCTAATCTCTGGAACTCCCTGCCTCAAACCCACCACCTCTGCCCCTCTTTATCTATCTTTAAATCCCACCTGAGAACCTACCTCTTCCACCATGCCTATGGCCCTCCCACCCCCTTCTTTCTTGCTCGGGTTCTAACTCTGCAGCACTCTGTGAGATGTTATCCTGCATGAAGGCTACTTTATAAATGCAAGTTGTTGCTGAGTGCATCTGTGATGCTAGAACTGGAGCAGACAAGTAGGACATTGAAATGCCATTGAGTGAAAACTGGGCTTGATTTTGCTGTATTTCATAATGGATTTATTAATAAAATTAATCTGGAAGACGGTGGTGCCAGTGTGCAGGAATGACACTCACACTCATCTATTTACGGACTGAGTCTTTGTGACATGCCTGACGTACTTCCAGACCCAGAAAGAGCCCCACTCAGATTTTGAAATGAAGAAATCCATCACACAAATACCGCAAAATCATCCCCAATTTGGAACAAGAGCTGTGTGGAGCAGATTCGTGTCAGAAACCGATAAAGCTGTGTCCTTTAAGTTCATGAAACAAAAAAATCCAGATGCAAGTCTGGTTCAGTGAGGAATTGAAGAATGAATATAGACACAGAGATATACACTAAATACTCCCCACAGAGCATGTTGGAACCATAGAAACATGGTCGAAGAATGCAGCCAATCCGATCAAAGACAGGATTTCGCCCTTGAGTAGCTGTTTGATTATCTCTGGGACCCAGGGAACCATTTACAGGTTTAATCTTTAACAGTTTTACTTTTTGTTATTAGTTTTCCTGCCACTCAAGTTTGCCTACAAATCTACACAGGCACTGAACTTTACAGAAAAACACTTTGAAGCAAATGAAACGTTTAAAAATTACAGGCTAAATCAAACACAAAGATTTTGTTATCAATAACATTTATATAGAGCTCTTCAAATCAGGAGGATGTCTAGAGGTGCCTATAAGCTCTATAGATCTCTTTTTTAAATTTTATGAGCCTGTTGCATTGTCGGAGTTATGTCCTTTGGATGAGATGCTAAACTGAGGTCCACTCTGCCTGTTCTGGTGGATGTTAAAGATCCCATGAGACTACTGGAAAAAAGAATAGAATTTCTCCCTGTTCTGACCAATAGTCTCATGATAAAATTGATCATTCACTTTGTGGCTGTTTGTGGGACATTGCTGTGGGCAAATTGGCTGCCGCATTCGCCTACAAAATATACAGTCACTATACTTCACAGAAATTTTGTAAAACATTTTTCGCCACTATAGCAATAAACATGACTGTGGGACATTGCTGTGCGAAATTGGCTGCCGCGTTTCGCCCACAAAATACACAGTCACTGCACTTTACAGTATATTCTGTGAAGCGCTTTGAGACATCTCGAAGACGTGATAAGGCAGTATATCAAATGCAAGGATTATTATTATTATAAGGTGCACAGTGGGGTTTTCCTTTCTCATTTTCCTCTCATTTTCTGCTGACAGATCCTCGCCCTGGTTGCAGTGCGGAAAGCTATGGACTACATCTTCTCCCAGCATGACCTGAGCTTTCTGGATGACGTGATACCTGAGAAGGACAAGAAGAAGAAGGAGGATGACAAGAAGAAAAAGAAGCACAGCACCGACAGTGACAACGACGATGTAAGCAGCGTTCAATTACCCTGGCCCTGAAATCACAGCAATCTGTTATATGCATATTGACATCTTTAAGTTCCATTATAAAAGTACTGTAGCTTGCTTTAAATCACCTTTGAGTGCACGCTATAACTGAACAGCAATTAATGTTAATCTGTTTTGAATTGTCTGAACAAGATTGAAAAGAGTCATTAAGAATGAAAACCACAAATGCATTATGCGACCAAGCTAAGGAGACTCGGACCACTTAAATGGCCTAACTTGACCCATCACAACCAATTATTGAGATCGCACGTCATCCAGTGCATTTCGACCGACCACAATTGTCCGTTTGAAGCCTGGCAACAGATTGCAAATCCGATCCAGGAAATGTACAGCCCATCAACTAGCGAGTTACACCTTGCCCTTCTGCCACATTGATGTCAAGAGTGCTTCACTTTAAAGACACTATTATCCATGATTGATCTACGGATGCTGATCTGTTACTTGCCTTTCCTTTTGGTTGGCTGAGCCACAGAGTTAAGAGATCCTCAATTTATGTTTTGAAGGCCAGCATCCTTTTGGTGTCTGCTGTCCCACACCCAGCCGATCAGCTGTGCACAGAGCATTATGTGACAATACCCCTGTCAGTGTGCGAGCACCACCTCCTGTGATTGTGTGACACACTGCGCTATTTGTTGTACAGGGCAGCACTATCCAAACCAACCTGCCCCCGCCATGTTAGTACAGGCCAGTTAACCAACTCCGGGGGCACTTTTTTGCAGTTTTATTTGCAAAAAATAACCACATGCACTTTTAAACCCTTGCTGCCGTCTATTTGAAGTCACTGTGAAGAGGTGACAGCCCCATCAGGCTGCTCACAGCTGGACGGCGGCTTCTGAGTGTCTGACTTGTGATGCTGGAAAGCCGTTCATTACAAATTCCAAAGCCTGGCCAAAGCCAAAGAGCAAAGTGTCATTTCTCACCACCGCTTATCATCGGACTTTGACACCTGGAGGGCTGGATAGAAAAACACAATTAATGCCTGGAGTCCCGTTTATGAATATTACAAACTCGGACATCCCCATCATACTACGTTGTTTAATCTTGCAAGTTCATATATCCTAACTTCATACACCGTACACGTAGGAAACATTTTTTAAAAGCTCTGTATTCTCTTCAAAATACAGTCACTATAAAGTATATCTTGTGAAGTGCTTTGAGATGTCCTGCCAGCGTACCAAATACAGGGTTTATTATTTATGATTACTATTATGCCCACATTGTTGCCAGACTTTAGTGCAGACAGCTGTATTATATGTATTTGATTTAGTGCTGCACATGGATTGCTAGCACATTGGCACTGAGACCCTGAGAGTAGTGGTGCCTGGCTGTCAGGACATCCCCATCATACTACGTTGTTTAATCTTGCAAGTTCATATATCCTAACTTCATACACCGTACACGTAGGAAACATTTTTTAAAAGCTATGTATTCTCTTCAAAATACAGTCACTATAAAGTATATCTTGTGAAGTGCTTTGAGATGTCCTGCCAGCGTACCAAATACAGGGTTTATTATTTATGATTACTATTATGCCCACATTGTTGCCAGACTTTAGTGCAGACAGCTGTATTATATGTATTTGATTTAGTGCTGCACATGGATTGCTAGCACATTGGCACTGAGACCCTGAGAGTAGTGGTGCCTGGCTGTCAGGTTTAGGTGAGAACACCCAAGTCTTACGTTGGTAATGGTCATTTGCCTCAAAAGTGAGAATAGTAGAAGACTGAGATGGCCTCTGTGGCTGAATAGTCTCATTGTCTGGAATCATACATAAAGATTGGTCAGTTGGGTGAGATACGGACAATGTTTGAGGAACCACATCCCAACCACTGCCTTTGGGAGAGGAAGGAAGAGAAAATGGAGTGGGGAGTGAGCAAAGGACATAAATGCTGCAGGATTGAGGGAATTCAAAGATTATGACTTTCCTTATAGCCAGTAATCAAACTACTAACCACAAACTCTTTATGCAAATTAGCCTCTAGGCTCAATAAGACTGGTAGATCCCCAGTGATATATTCTTCTCTGTACCCTAAGATGTTTTCTGTAATGTCTTATTTACAGCTTTAATTACCTACCACTCTTAAACAGTGCTCACAGCGGGAATGGAGCCATTTGTTCTGATACTGCAGGCCGTTCCTCAGTAACTGAAAGTCTCCAAATAATCTTGAATACTGTTTAATTCAGATGGTGTGACAGAACTGTATGATGCTTCTTACCTGACAATATTGTTGCCTGGTAATTCCCTCCAAGTATTTGTTTCTAAGAGACATCACACTTATGAGTTAACTCACCAACATTACATTTTGGATTGTGTCTTGTTCTATTCTGAAGCCACTCTGAACAGAAGTCCCTTAAAGAGAAATGAAATCTCACAGCGATCATTGACCTTGAACTTGATTCCCTCACATTCCTAGACCTGTCCGGATGATGCAAGCCACTCAATGCTGATAAAGGTGCTCTGGATTCAGTTCATTCTAGCAAGGACTCTCTCAGTCAAAAGGTTGACAATAGTCACAACTTGTATTGTTTAGCTGTCAAGTTACAGCTCCTAATGATTGCACACACATTCCACTGCAAAACAGATTTGATAAGGAACAAAGTATCATACATTTTAATTTATTTCAATTTAAAAAGTGTGACCTAAGGCTTCTTGAATTCCGTTTGGCTGAACTTCCTCTTCCCAATTCCCCTCTCTCCTCCTCAAAGGGGCACGTGGAACTGTGACCCAGGAGAGAGGCAGCACCTTGAGAATCAGGGGAAGAGAGCAGAACATAAATGTCTTTTTAAAACATTACTTTACTCAAGACAAAATGGGCAAGATTTGCATTATACTAAAGAAAGTAAAAGTTGTTGAGCATCAGACTATTTTCAGATCCCTAGTGAATCCCTAAACAATGAGAGGAAAGTGCCCACTATAAACCAGTTTGGATCACTCTAGTTTTCTCAAATGAGAGAAACCTACCTGAATCATGTAATCCTCAAGAGTAGCGTGGTCCTAGTTGAACAAGCAGCAGGAAGTTTGCCAGACTGTATTCACAATGGCAAGCCAAATGATTTTAGCTGGTTACTCCAGGAGTACCCCAACACACACTCTGGGGTTCCCAAGTCTTGGCTTTTGCCAGCCTGCGCCTAATAGTGGCCAGAATCAGGTAAGCAGGATGCACCCCTGTAGGCAGAGAGTCCCATTACATTCCAAACACAGGGATGTTTCTGTGTGTAGGCAGCATGCATATGTGGAATTCTTCAGTCTGTTTGGATACTCTTAATGTGGTGATGGGTTTCCCCATGTGTCAGACACTCAGCTGGGAATGGCCCCCATCCCTGAGAAGCTAGTGATATCAGCTGGTACCTTCATTCTGATTCCCTATTAGTAAAGGGATGTGCCCAGGTTCCAATCTGGTATTATTAAAGGGGAGTGTTTGGGTTCCAATTTGGTATTTTTAAGCACTCTGAACATTTCATCCACAGTCCGATTACCCATATTCAGAAAAAGTTGCAGCTATTAAAATTCCAATGGACATGATGGAACAAGAGCCCTTCCTAGGCAGTAACAAATCTACTGACAGTGAGTAAAACCATCTGCCCACTTGGCTTTACCTCAGTCCTTCACAATGAGAACTCAATTACCATCTTTATTCATCTTTATTCTGTTTCTTCATTCAACCTTGCTCATATGATATATCACATTGTGCCTTTGTTTTTCTCCTCCTCTTACTCTAATCTATCTCCTACCTGTCTCCTCTCCCCTCTTTCCTCCTGCATGTGCCTCATGGTTACTGTTGTATTGCAGCTATTATTGTGGATTTACCCCAGAACCATCAACTAATCGTGTTTCGATGAGAGCCACAAATGAGCGCTTATCGTGCTTCTTTTGTCTTTTCTTGCTGTCATTCCCTTTCTGTTTCAGGTCAGTGAGTTCCTATAATCCATTGGCATCTTCATTTTTAATCAAAGCACAGAATGCTTATTATAATACATCGGTGGCTATGACCCTTCTGGGACTGTCTGGTGAAAATTGGTTTGATTGCGTTCCTTTCTGATTGGGATTGTAGATGCCTGAGAGTACTATACAAAGCTTATGATATGTGCCTGTTGCTTTCAGTGAAATATTTAGTCAAATTATAGGTCGAGAAAAATCTAGGCATTTTTATTGAAGTCTGATGTGAAGGGTTGTGGGTTTTACCCATTGCTAATAAAGATGTTGTTGTCCCATATGGGGGCTTAGAAAAAGATTTTACTTTCGGACTACCGTGATTCCAGTCATAGACGTTCCTGTTTTCCAAAGTGCACTAGGCAATATCCTTCTAACTAATGCGCAGTAATTGTCATCTGCTCCCATGTGGGGTTTCGCTTTTACGAGTGATAGTTTTATTAGCACCAAGCTGATATTCAGCAGATTGTCCATCTAATTTTGCTTCACACATAATGATAGCTCATTTAAAAGATGAATGGACCTGCGCTGTTGCCCTGTGGTTGTAAAATTCCCATCTCTATAATACTCAGAAATGGTTCCAAACTCTGCTATTAGAAAGCTGAGGCTAGCACGTTTCGCATGAATGAGCTCTACATAAGAAAACATGTCCTAGTAGATCTGGTTCAAGTGGACTTGGCAGACCCAGGTCTTGTAAGTTGGTTGTGATGGATGTGGTAGCAGGGACTCCATAGCGTACTTGTGAAGATGGAATGTATCGAATGGACCTGGTTCCAGGTGACCTGTCGGATCTACCCTGCACTATAAAGGCTGGCTTGTATGTTGGTTGTGCTTGACCCATTAGCAGGAACTCCATAGTGTGATTGTGAAGATAGAGACTTGGGAATCATTGCTGAAAGTCTAATGTAGAGAGGCCTTTGGTAGCAATGTCCCAATCAACTGCTGATCTCTAGAGAGTTCAGTGGTGGTGTAAAGAGGATAACAATCATTGACAAACAAAGAGTAATTGATCCAAATATTGGTAGCATAGTGGTACGGGATCTAATCATTCTTTACTGTTCCAATTGTATAAAATTGTAGTGAATTCTTAGATTCGGTGTTAATTTGGAAGCTGATTCATTTTAATACCTGAAGATAAACCACCGCCAAATTAACACTGAATTTTAGAATTTGCCACAATTCAGAGCAATCTTAGATATTAAAACAATGTGGACTGACAGGCTGAGACTAGGTGGAATTTCAGACCTCATGAGGTTAAAGTAATAATAAAAAAAAACATCTGTGTGGACACATGCCCTAGACCAATGTTCATGTTTCAGATGCTGGTAGAAAGGGCTGAGGCACTGCTTTGCTACGTAAGGTGAGCTGGGTTACTCAATAACAAGACATCTCCCTCGTGCTCAACGGACAAGACATTAAACTAAGTGTGGAATATTGAGTTTTGAGGATTTTGAAAAGAAAACGCACCTTCTATAGATCTAGTCAGCCACCATATGTCCAGGCAGCACTGTCTTAGTTAGAAAGTTGCTGTATAATGTGTGCACTAATATTGTGGGAAGTTACAACTGTGTTCTTTTTCAATTCAGGAGAGAAATCACTTACATTCCTTGAAGGACATACATCATGTTGATCAGAATCCTTTTTTCCAGTCAATGCCAAGGTAAGGGCAACGTTTATTCCCACTGTTAAACAGTCTGTTACTGTGTTACAGTCAGTAATAAATAGTGTGTTACAATCAGTAATGAACAGTGTGTTACAGTAGTCGGCAATAAACAGCGTGTTATTACTACCACCCCATCTCCAAACTGCTTTTCCTCTCCAAGGTCCTGAAACGAGTTGTTGCTTCCTAGCTTCGTTCCTTCCTCTCCCGCCATTCTCTTCACGAACCCCTTCAATTGGGTTTCCTGCCGCTCACAACACAGAAACAGCCCTGGTCAAAGTGACAAATGACATTCTGTCCATCTGCGACCAGGGCTCCTTCTGACTCCTCGTCCTCCTTGACCTCTCTGCTGCCTTCGACACCGTCGACCACTCTGTCCTCATCCACCTCATCCTACCATCCTGCCTGCTCCCTCCGCTCAGCGGACTCCGGCCTGCTTCACGTTCCCCGCCTCACTCGCCCCACTATTGGTGGGCAGACCTTCTGCCACTCTGCCCCCACCCTCTGGAACTCCATCCCGCAGTCTCTCTGCCTTGCCCCCTCCATTGCCTCCTTCAAGACCCTCCTCTTTGACCACGCCTTCGATCTTCCTGCTTCCCCCCTCTGCCTTCCACCCTCCCCGATCCTGAACCCCAGCTCGGGTCCGAAACTCTGTCCAATGCCTTGGGACGTCCTCCTGACATGAAAGACATTTTACAAATGTAATTTTGTTGTTGTTGTTGTTACTCCATACATCACAGAAAAGAACATTTTACAAAATCACGGAATTGGTCTAGATATAAAAAATGTGCTTTGACCCATCCAATCTTATCCCTCCAGACACCCACCCTCCATCACTGCATCAAGCTGCTGTTTAAATGAGTTGCAGGATTCCATAAAATCCACTGGGGAGTGATGTGTTGGGATGGGCCATTTGTACGGAATGCTGGTAAATCAATTTGTCGAGTTAAAACCCTAGTTAATGTATTTGTTTTTCATTTGGATTACTTTCAGCCCCCCAAGAACTCCAGTCAGAAGTGTGCCTCAAATCAGAATACAACTTGAACCGGACTATGACACAGGTTTCTTCTGGAGAAGCAGGGGAACGGAGACCACACTCTGAATCCACGTCTCCAGTGAACATTGTACCTGCCAATGATTTCGAGGCAACCCCCTTCTTCACTCTGTAACAACACAATGGAAACCACCACCAGATTCAGTGCGGGAGGAATCGGGCACTTTGTTCCTTTATTTTTGTTAGAATCCGTAGCAGTTGTTTTTTGTTTCCCGTACTAAAGTCCCGCTGGAAGAACAAAACAAGGAGGTTGGGGGCATATTCTCTCTGCACAGACCACAGCTCACTTCAGGGGCAGCCCTGCTCTGGGTCTTTTGTACTGAGAGCTCAGCAACAGTGGCCTAGTGTAGTTTCCCCGCTCAGTCTATGCTTTGTTAGAGCTTTGAGGGCAGAGAGGAAGGATTGCCTCTCTCTCTTTAGGTGAATAATGCTGTGTAGGCGACTCTGCAAGAGTACCTTGTAAAATACTTTAATGCTCTCTGGAAAGGATCAGAATAGAAACTGTGACTTGTCATGTGTTAGTCCTGTTGTTTGATCCTTTTTACATGCTCACTGTTGACAGTTACACTTCGCTGCTGCAGGTCAAGCTGTTCATAGCCTCACGCAGCTCTACCTCTTAACTTTAGATGCCAGACTTTCCATACAACTGAATGAAATTGTATACTGATGTGATTGTTAACCACAATCTGACTGGCGAAACATAGGACTCTGTAGAGTATTAACACTCGAAATCCATTCTTAAAAGCCCTATCCTGGAGTCTTTAATTATTCTAAAAGATTAAAACTATATTATTATTATTATAAGCAGGCAATATATTTGTGAGTCAGCAGTAATTTAAATAATTATTTTATGATTTTAAAGGAGTGTTAATGTGTACGTTATGTTTTACTGGTGGTAGCAGGACCAGCATTAACCTGTTGATGCTGATGGTCTATTCTTTCCGCAATGATTTGTACCTAGTGTTTGTAGGAATTATTCCAACAAGTCTGGTATCTGACCAGTGGTTTTATGTAAGCTGTTTCCTTTGATTTTTAAATGATTTTCTGAACCGTAAGATCCGGTGTTCATACAAACTGGTGGCGTGATCTTAACCCTAAGTACCAGGTCGTTGCAGGATCAAATCCCAGTCTGAGATAGCTGGTCTCAGCCACCCTGGGCTAGGGAGGGGGGAAAGTCAGTCAGGATTCTCATGCCTGTTTGCTAATGAGTCCTGTAGCTCAGTGGTCAGAGCACTCGCTTTGCAAGTGAGAGACCTGAGTTCAATTCCAGGCACAGGGCGAATCCTTGGGCAAGTTTCCTTACTCCACACAGAGCCTAATAATAATCCCTCCAAAACCCAAACCAATAATTAAATTGGTCATTTTCAATCTACGACTGTTTGTGGGACACTGCTGTGCACAATTGGCTGCCGCGTTCGCCCACAAATATACAGTCAATTCACTTTACAGTATATTCTGTGAAGCACTTTGGGACGTCCTCCCGACGTGAAAAGCGCTATATCAAATGCAAGGATTATTATTATTATTATGAGTGCCCCTACCCTGCTGCAAGGTGTCTGTGCCCATGTCAAGGTTGGTTGTGACACTGCTGTAGTCTTACAGCCCCTAGAGTCACCACCTGGAACAGGACTGAAGAGGAGCCACGGTCGGTCGGTCTGCCCGTGAGAGTGTCTGCCCATCTGTAAGTCTGTCTGTTTGACACTCTGTTTGTCTGTCTGTCCATTTGTCTATCCGTCCTGATGGCCAGCAAAATTCCCCGGACACTGATTTCAAAGATAAGGGCCACCCCATTGCCCTGGGCTTCAGTGCAAACTTCTGTTTTCCTCTGATTTCTAGGGTGACCACAGGCAAGGTGTGTGCAACAACACCTGTTAATACTTCACTACTAATGCTGCTTCACGTGTGTGAAAGGCCCCTTGGAGAAAATGTCAACATTGTCCATCTGTCCCTGTTTAAATATAGAATAGGAAAGTAGGAAATGGTTTAATAATGTTAAAACATGAGAGGTTATTGAGCTCATTATTATTTTGGGGGATAACATTGATGTTGACAGTTGCCATAGTGAGTGTCTTCTGATGGATTCTATGATGGTCAGATGTTGTGGTGGAGGATGCGAGCGGTATATCGAGTTCTGCCAGTAGCATCACATGGAGAGCCTGTGAATCTAACAGCGGCAAATGGTCAGCTGTACCCACAGCAGTTACCATAGGTTATAGGATCATAGTACAGAAGGAGGTTATTCAGCCTGCCATGTCTGTGCTTATATGTTCAGCATAACACATCAGAAGCATCCTTGTATGTCTTTTAACCATAGCCCTGGCCCCAGACTCCTGGCTTACCTGAGAATGACATCTTATTAAGTGCTGGGAAATTGTTCCCTGTTTGATAACTATTCAAAGTCAGCACCCTGTTTCATTTCAAAGGGTAATATGCAATGCTACAACCAGAGGCATATTTTCCTCTTTGTTCCTGAATATGTTTCATCTTACCAATGAGATGTGAAATGCTGACATGGTTTTCAAAGGGTTAACACTGTCATTGACAGCAAATCATTCCGCTGACTGAAGTGAAGTTGCGTCAGTTGGAGGGTGGGGGTGAGGACTGGGAGTTAGACTTGTACTGGCCAATACAGGCCTCAACTCCTGTCAGTGAGTACCAAACCTAACACGACATTAAACCAGGAAAGAGGTGAGATATTAAACCCCAATGTTTGGGCTTTGCCCTCAAAATGCAACAAATGAAAGTCAGATCTTGGTCATGTTAAACTGTTTTTTTTAATCTATGTCTTATCCTTGTTAAGTTGTGTGTACTTCCATATTGATTGTCTCAACAAAGCAAGGTCTTCCAATTTGTAATCTTACTAGCAAATACTTGAAATGCATTGACTACTAAATCACTTCAATCATTTACTGAAACACCAAAACCTGTTTTTTTACAGAAAAATTAATTCTTTTGTATTTTTTTGCCTGGATAGTCAGTCAATGGGTGGATGAAATTTGCCTCTGCCATTTCTATTTCCATAATAATCCTATCCATTCCCTTCCTCTGCACTGTGAGAGACTTTCTGTGTATATTTGTAGTTTCTTTTTATGCACCTTGAGCCGCTTAATCACATGTGATCTGTTCAGGCCTCTGATTGCCTTTGTGGGAGAAGTCTAATGAATTAAAGATAATAATTAACTGGAGTTCAGTGTGCTTGAAGGAAAAAAANGTATCACGTTTCCTCAACAAGCATATGGCGATTCCAGGGTTATACACTTTCAGAGTAATATAGAATTACACAAATTTACAATTTTCAATGCTTTCTATGGTGATTTTTAATAAATCATGAGTACAAAAAACAATTTGGAGAAAATGTCAACATTTTTTTTCAAGCACGTGCAAAAATAAAGAACTTTTATGCACTTATTTGCTGTTAACTGTCCTTAACTCTTTTATGGAATAATAATAATAATCATAATAATCCTTGCATTTGGTATAACACCTTTCACATCAAGAGGACCTCTCAAAGCTCTTCATAAGATTTGTTGTAAAGTGGGGTGTGTTGTGGATACACACAGCAATTTGCACACAGCAATGTCTTGCACACAGCCCTGAAGTCAATGACCAATTTTATTCCAAAGGATTTGTTGCCCAGGACACCGGGAACAGTGCCACGAGATCTTTGACATCCACCTGAACAGGCAGATGGCACCTCAGTTTAATGTCTGCACCTGAAGGACGGCACCTCTAGCAATGCAACAATGCATTGGAGTGCCAGCTTAGACTATATGAGTTCTGATGTTGGCATTGAACTGATTCAGAGGTGAGAGTGCTACCAGCTGAGCCAGGCTGACACATGGCATGACACAACACAGAAACAGGCAACTTGTCTAATTAGTCCAAGCCAGTGTTTATACTTCACATGAGCCTCCACCCCTTCTATACCACTCTCGTATACCTCCTTTTCCATCATGTATCCATCAAGTTTATTCTTACCTCCCAGCTGTGATATCCACAACTGCCAAAGGCATTTTCGTCTTACAGAGACATAAGAGGAGACTCAAAAGTTCACCTAGTCTTAGTCTGTAAGACGATTTTGTCTTAAAATAAAAGATTGCAAGTGGAGTGTTTCTGCAGTTCTTAAAAAAGAGTAGCTTCCAAATTAACCCTGAATTGAATTTTTCACAATTCTGCAATCTTTAATTTTAAGACAAATTGATCAAAAGATCAGGTGGAATTTGGGGCCTAGGTTTTTCCCTGATCCTTTCAGTGGGTAATTGCACTGCTTGGTACTGTACTGCCCTGAGACATAAAGAGCAGTCTCCATTCCTTTCAAGTTAACTATTTTCAGCGAGGGTGGTGAGCATTGTGATTAGCACAGAGACCATGGTCAAACGGCTTGTTGCTACTCGCTATCTAGGTGAAGTGAGCCACATGGGAGAGGTGGTAGAGAACTGCCCTGAGTGGGTCAGCACATTCACACCAACGCTATATACTTCTGTACGAATGGTGTACTATATAGCCACAATGTATGCTTTTAGTATTTGTGGACTACACAACCACCCTGTATACAATACAATATAAATTACATTTGTATAGCGTCTTTCACGTTGGGAAGATGTCCCAAGTTGCTGGACAGTCAGGGATTTGACCCGAGCTGGGGGTAGGGTTTGGGGAGGATGGAAGACAGGGAGGGTAGGAGGATGGCCAAAGACTCGGTCAAAGAGGAGGGTTTTGAGGCGCGCCTTGGAAGAGGCGAGGGAGGGAGACAGGCAACGGGAATGTGGGATGGAATTCCATAGGGTGGGGGCAGAAAGGCTGAAGGCCTGGTCGCCGATGGTGGAGCGGGCCAGAAGGGGGGACGTGGAGCAGGCCAGAGCCTACTGAGCAGAGGGAGCAGACAGGTGGTTACATTCAGAAGCCAGCTTTACTTGACTTTTAACACAATAAATAAAAATTAGAGTTAAGCCAGTATCACACTTACCGACACTCTACGTTCGTGCATTAGAAACCAAATGT